ACGCACTGCCCATAGTGCAACTTATGTCTCGGCTAGCCACATCAGGTTCACCAGCGCGAAGGAGACTGATGGCACCTGCGGTGTTGAACTTTGGTTTGACCGGCAGCATGCCCTCTTCTCCGACCATGAGGGCCGCCCTATCCACTTTCAGCCTGGTGACTTTCTTGCGGTCCATTGGACGCCGCGCATTCTTGCTGTGAGGTATACCCATACCACTTTCAGGGTCCTCTTTGTCTGCATTCATGCTCCCCATAGTGCTAGCCCAGGACGGGATGCTTGGTGGGACACCCTCTTCCAACTTCTTCGTCGCATCTCACAGGATGCCCATCTTGTGTTGCTAGGGGACTATAACTTGCACATGCACCACAGCCACTCTGCTGCCGTTGGGGACCTAGTTTGGGGTACGCCTAACCCGGACCCGCCAGCTGCCTTCTATAGGCTGTTAGACCACTTTGCCTTGTGGATCCCCAGTACCTTTGACGCCTGCCACCCTGGGATACCGCCACCTGGCATTCACCAGCAGGCGCTGGGTCTGCCCGCCTCGACTATATTGCTGTTCCCTCCTCATGGCAGACACCTCGCGGCGGCAGCACCACCAATCCGCGCCTAGACTGGGGGCAGAGCCGTGCTGACCATGTTGCCGTCCAATTGTGGATCAGGGGGACTGTCACCATTGGGAAGGCCACTTGTCGCAAACGCAGTCGACTTAATACAGCCGCCATGCGTACGCCAGAGGGCCGACTGACTCTCGAACACATATGTCGCAACGTTCCCCTGCAGCCTTGGGATCTTGATGTGCATCGTCACGCCCAAGCCCTTGACACATACTTCCGCGACCACCTTGCCAGTGCTTTCCCGGTCGGCAAATCCTCCTGCCGGCATGAATACTTCCAGGCCTCAACCTGGCAACTCCGCAATAAGCGGGAATGGCTACGCAAACGTGTCAAAGGAGCCTCCCGCACCATTAACGGATGGCACCTGAGGGCGGCATTTCAATCGTGGCACCGTCGGCGCCGACTCTCCGACACTTTACTAGCATGCTGGGCCCCTGTTCTTTGGTCACTACGTGACCTGCCGGTTTTCTTAGAGGACCTGCGGCTCTCTAGCCAAGCACTCCGCAGTGCGATACGCCAGGATCACCTTGAGCATATTCGCAACACAGCTGCTGAGTCTGAATCCTCTTCAACCCAAGCCATTGTTCAGAGGCTTAGAACGCTAACAGGAGGCCCCAAGCGCAAGCAGCGCGACCGGCCCCCCCTACCTGCTGTTGAAAGGGCTGATGGGACGCTAGCAGCCACCCATGAGGAAGCCAAGCAATGTTGGCTTGAGCACTTTTCTTCAATCGAGGCTGGCTCCCTTTCCTCTCCCACTGAGCTTGTACGTGCCTGCATTTCCCGACAGCAGGCAAAGGATCTTGAAGACTACCAGGTCTCACATGGCGACGCCCCAACCCTCGGCCATCTCGAATGGGCCTTGAGAGACACTTCCACAGATCGTGCATATGGGCTCGATGGCCTACCAGGCGAACTCTTGCATTTTTGCGCGCCATTGCTCGCGAGGCCCATTTACCAACTCCAGCTTAAGTCCCTTCTCACGCTCGCAGAGCCCGTCCAACATAAGGGCGGTGTCTTACACTGCGTCTACAAACACAAAGGCTCGAGACAACTTTGCTCCTCCTACAGGGGGATACTCGTATCCTCTGTCGTGAGTAAGTCTTTACACAAACTGCTCCGCAAAAAGTGCGTCCCAGCACTCCACAATGTGGCATCGCCTCTCCAAGTAGGAGGCCTGCCGGGCTATCCGGTCACCGTCCCTGCTCATGCAACGAGAATGTACCAATCCGCCTGCCTACAAAAGGGCTCCTGTCATGGAGTCCTTTTCTTGGATCTACAGGAAGCATTTTATCGCATAGTCAGACCTTTGGTTACAGGAGGCCCCTCACAGAAGAGGCGATTGCTGCTGCATGCCGAGCAGTGCATATGCCCAGTGGAGTGTACCACGACATACAGCAGCACTTGCAACAGCTGCCACTGTCGTCTGCTGCTGGGGCTAGTCCCTGGGTTACCCGAGCTCTAGAGGAGACGCTCCAGAACACTTGGTTCTGCTTCGCTGGGGAGGAGGAGCTGATCACCACCGCGATTGGATCCCGACCCGGGGATTCCCTCTCCGACCTCGTTTTCAGTCTGTTGTTCGCAAGGGTTCTCAAGCAGGTGCGTTCTGCTCTCTCAGAGGCAGGACATGTGCCAAATATCCCGTGGCATGCAGATATGATTGGTCGTCTGACACCGCTAGCTCAGACCCCTGACCAAACCATCAGTTTGCTCGACGCCACGTGGATGGATGATTTGTCCATGCTCCTGCAGGCGGACAATTCCCGCGAACTCGTTGAGCGGCTGACTGCTGGAGCGTCCACACTCCTTGACAAATGCCTTGAGCACGCTCTCCTCCCGAACCTCAAGAGGGGCAAGACTGAAGCACTTGTCCACCTTCGTGCCCGCCATGCCAGGCAGATGCGACAGCAGCTCTTTGTCGAGCAGGAAGGAACTATTCCTCTCCATTGCAGACTCTGGACAACCGCCAGCCTCCGCTTGACAGCGACCTACAAACATCTCGGCGGTGTGCTTCACCACCGGGGTTGCCTGCTGCGAGAAGTCAAAGCAAGAGCTGCACAGGCATGGGTTGCATTTAATTCCCGAAAGCAGAAAATCTTCTCTTCGCCGAAGGTCAGCTCGAAGGACAAGGCCCTCCTGTTTGATAGCCTGGTTGCTTCGACCCTCTTTTATGGGTCTGGTACCTGGCCGGACCCGCCACCCGAATGCATACGCAAACTCACGGGAACCCTGCGAGGGATGGCCAGCCAAATGCTTCGACCTGCCTACGACTGTACACAGGCGTGGAAGCTTGGCACTGCACGCACCCTCGCTCTTGCCAGGATCCCGACAGCCGTTACGTACTTGCATACCCACCGCCTACGTTACATGCTTTCTTGCATCGTGTTGTCAGTTCCCGAGTTGTGGGCACTTGCTCACTGGGAACGAACCTGGATGCGTGGTGCTGCCGAGTCCGTCCAGTGGCTTTGGGAAAGGGCTGATCCTACCCGACAGTACCCAGACTGGAGCACCGCCTGGGAGGTTTGGAGAGAGGAGGCTAAACAACATCCGGGTAGGTGGAAGGCGCGCATCCGCAAGGCACAGCGCTGTGCCCTAGCGCAGGAATACTGGCAAGCAGAGCTTCAGCGGCACCAAGGTCTGTTGCTACGCCAACTCCAGCAAGTTGGGGCTAGTGTCTCTGCGCAGTCTGACTATGAGGAAGAGTCGAAGGAGTGTTGTGCGGTCTGCCGAAAGTGTTTCCGGGACTACCGAGCGTGGTCCGTACACGCCTTTTCGACACATGGGCGCACTGACGAGATGCGGCGCCTTGCACCTGGTACGCAGTGCCCTGCATGCCTTAAGCACTTCACCTCCGCGACCAAACTTAGCCGCCACCTTGGGTACAGCCGTCTTTGTCGTGGTCAGCTGCTGTCCACCAGCTCCCGGCACACCCCCGAGCCTGGAGTCGGGAGCAGGAAGGCACCCGATGATGGGGTTGCCCTGCTGCCTGTACTGCAAGCCTCTGGGCCCCACCAGGGACCCCAGCAGTTCTTTATTGAAGAGGAGTCAGCTAGGCCTTGTGCTGAAGTCTTAGACTGTCTTCTACACATCGACCATGATGGGGCCATCGCCACCGCCGGTGAAGCCGAACTATGGGACCGCCTCCGCACGGCCTTCTCTTGCGTGTGTCTGCAGGCCGCAAGGCTACGTGTCACCGCTCAGTGTTGGCAACGTATCATTTCGGATCGGCACCAGTCCGTCACGGAATCCACTCTTGACATTCTACGCGAGGCGGCCCACTGGCTTTGCAGCAATGATCTGGTTTCGTGGCTTGTGCCAGAGGCTGATGACGGACTTCCTGCTACCGACACTTTCCGGCTTAGTGGACTTTACCTCGCCTCCCTCAACTTCACCGGTGTAGCGTGGCCCGTTTCCTCTGTTGCCTCTCCAGAGACGATTTGGGTTCAGGTTGGGCATGTCCCCCCAGAACTCCTTCCTCCAGTGCCAGAGGACCGATGGCTCCGCTACCAGCATCGGGATGCACTTGCGGATCGTGCTGCCGATACCATTGTTGACTACCTTGACCACACCGACCCTGAGTGTTGCTATTGCTTGTCGACAATTGGACTACCAATCGGATCCGACCCGCCTGGGGACACCACGTCCTGTGTGGCAGCACTGCCCAGTGCTGTTTTGGCCTGGGACATTATCCGTGTGTCTGTCGACCACTGGACCCACGGCATCCCCTCCAGGCTTGTCCTGCCTTCTACCGTTCCCCCTGCAGCACAGCCGCTCCTGGTGCACCAGTCTTCAGGCTGTGTCGCGATTGGGAACTGGTAGAGTGTCTTCACCGTTTCACTTAATTAAGCGCATCCCACAAGGGGCCGCGTCAACCTGACCCTACGCCCGAAACAGCAGAAACAGCAGTGTGTGTGCGCGCGTGCGCGTGCGCGTGTGTCCGCGTCGCGAGATCTTGGTTGGAGGACAGTGCTGTGCATAATCTGGAACTCCCGCCACGGTAATGATGCCAGTGAGTGATCTGGGGGCCCCAGTAATGGAAAGTTTGCACAGCCTTCTTGCGTTTCGTGATTGTCCTGGTGGATGCAAAGCTTTTGCGGCCTGAAGTGTTTCTAGGAAGCAGGGCTCTCACATTACAGAGTCTATTTCGGCTTTACTGGGCTACCCGTCAATGCGACGTTTTGTTGGCCTTGGCCGCCGTAGTCAATGCGCTTTCGTGTGTTCCCCCCCCCCCCACCGCCCCGTTTCTTTTGCGTTCCACAGTCCGGTCTCCGCCTCCCAAAATCGCATCCCGGCCACAGCCCTGTGCATACTGTGGCCGCGAGTCATGCTTTGCTCTTTCACCGTTTGGGTTGTAAGCTGGCATAAGTATCCGAACAACATGTGGCATGCCTCCTTGCTTCTGCAGCTCGCTCCGGAACATGTCCCTGTGAGGCTCTGAGATGTTAAGCAGGTCGGCCAAGTCGGTGAAGCAGTCCACCAAATATTCTGAGTCCAAGGACTCTCGCGTGATGTGTGCTGTGCCACTCCGAAGTTCCGACCGATTGCAGCTTAGCATCTCCCCTGAAAGTATCTTAGCGCAGCAGACTCATCTGATTTTCGCGAGGTTTTCGTTAACCTGGACATGCAGCATGACATACGTCAAAAGCCCATCCTGTGAAGCACAACATGTCCTTCCAGCAAGAACTCTTGCATCTGTGGCCTTTGTGTTTTGGAGTTCGAGTTCGAGAGGTCCCTCTCAGGAGTCGCATCCAGGTCTTTCTGATCCTCCACGTCTTTACCATCAACAACCTGAACATGTCAAGTCTGAATCTCAGTCTGAGGCAGACAAGCACCCCGTCCAAGGCTTTTCCTGCCAAGCCGAGCGACCACCTTCAGCTTCCCATCTTCCAAGTTCGGCGTTTCCGCGTGCCACTCCGCAGGCCAGCCGCCCTCTACTGTCTTCTGAGTCAGACCAACTTTCCACAGGTTTTCGAAGGGGTCGTACATCATCCACTGGTCCGTGTGACACAGATTCCTGAAGACTTGCCTGCACAGTCTAAATGCAAGACATGGCAATAGAGTAGGGTCAGTGAGTCAGCGAACCTCAGTTTTCAGATTCAGATGTCAGATTGCCTTTCTCCAGAGCCAACGGAGTTGTCTTGCCGCACGTAGCACCCATCCAGCCGATGCACCATGCCCTTTGCACGGACGTTGACCTTCGAGCGCATGTCATACCAGGATGTATGGAGGCAATTGCTCAATGCTCTAACCTCTCAAATCTTGATCTTGAATAGGCCTATAGGTCATAGGCGGGCGACATCTCTGGCGTGAATGTAGTCCCCGTACATCGCTTTGATCGGAGCTCCGCAGTCGGCAAACCTCGGATTAAAGGGAGATGTGCCCGTGCCAACGGTCTGCCAGTGATCGGCCTTTGGCACACGATCGAGATGTCTTCGCTGGTCAGCTCATCTTGGCTCACAGTGCCGGTCTCGAAGTCTAAGACTCTGTGAATGAGATCTAAGAGTCTAAGAGGCCCACTGTTCTGCAAGTATCTCAAGAAGGAGCCGAAGACCCAGGGCTGCAAGTCCTGACAGAGGGTCACAGTCTCCTTGCATCCAAGGTTGCTCCGCTCTTCCCATCTCCTCCCGGCCAGCCCCGGTCTGGCGAAGCAGCTTCGGGTACTGCGGCAGCCGCGCGAGGTCCCCGTGCAAGAGCAGGCCCTGAGCAGAATGAGCGAATGAGCGTCGTGCGCAGTGCACTGCCGAGACGATCTTCCTTCGACGAGAAGGAGGCTGGGATTTGGATGGTTCCTCCCATTTCCCACCGTCTCTGCTCAATCGTGCACTGAGGCGTGTTCACAGCATCGCATCGACTTCGCCTTGATAGACCTGTCCTGAATTTTTGCAAAACCTCTCCTGGGCCAGACCAAACAATAAACGGGTGGTCCAGGAGCACAGGCAAAATGCTGACCCCGACAATCGTGCTAGAGGCTGTTTGCGAAGCTTCTGGTCCCAGAGCTACTAGCCTCATCCCGCCTTTGTCCCTGCATTTGCATAGCGAAATGCTGCCAGCAAGGATGAGAGAGTTGGACGGCAGCCCTGATGCTGAAGGATCTCCACAATGTCCCACGAGCAGCCCAGGCCTAGGTGTCAAAGCTGCCTGTGCCTGCGGCTTGCGTTCGGAGAGGACACTTAGGGACGTAGGGATTCCCTTCCGCCAAGAGTCGAAAGGCCGTCGCAAGCATTGTGCTGGCAAAGAAGGTGCCAGAGTCCACGCCTTGAGAAGCACGAAAGAGACGATCGGATCCACGAACCGGAAGCAGGATGAAGCTACACATGCCGGGGTGGCCCTCACAGGCATACACGGGCAAGGACAAACCAAAGCCCTCAGAAAACATCACAAGGGCAAGGCAAATCGACTACTGTATCTGGAGATCAGAAGACTGGTGCTGAGCTTGAGCTCCAAGTCAGCACTGCTCTCGGCATCCGCAGGAACGTTGCTGAAGCGCACAACCCGCTTCTGGTCCCTCAGTACAGTGTCGCAGGCTCCTCGTCGATTCCCCTTCGCTTCCTTAACTCCCTAAACCCGACCAATGCTTAGCCTCGCTGCGGGTTGAGGATTTGATCCGCAGGGAGCCAAGGCTCGTAGTCTGGAAACATCTCGTCGAAATTCAGGTCGCGCTTGCGAATTGCGAACCCTGAGCATGCAAGCTGCTGCAGACTAATCCGTGATGCAGACTGCAGCAGTCCAGAGTCGCGAAGGCTGAGTCTGAGCCAAGCTTCTGAAAGCTGTCTGTGCGACAACGATAGGGTAGATTGCCTTGCCTTTGGGGTCAAACCTGTAAGCCTGAGCTTCCCCACTGCCATCGATCGCAATACGCATAGACTTCGCATCGATATCCACCTGAGACGCTTCTGCCAAAAGAACTTCTGCTTCTGAAGCTCAAGCCTTAAGCCACGCCGTGCTGAGGCACCGTTTCCGATCAAAAGCATACTCTAGTAGCCAAGCGTCTGAGATGCACAGGACTTGCCCGGCTCGCCACTGAGTCTGCCACTGGTCTTTCTTTTCTTCAGCATTCGCAAACCAAACTTTACTTCCATTCACAAGCCATACACCCTCGTTTCGGTCAATTGTGTCATCATCATGCCGTGGAGCGTAGCTTTCGAGTGCAACTCCAACAAAGAGTGTTTCGTCAGGATCTTCCTTCAGAAAGACTTCGTAATAGTACTTTCCTGACTCCCTGGATCCACTTGGGAAGCCCACAGATCGAATCCAAGAACTTTGGTCCCAGCTCCTTCAGGGTCACAAGACTCAACTTGCTGTGCCCAGGTGCCTCTGACTCTAACGAGAATGCAGACGGAGGCAGAAAGAGTCTTCTTAGCTCTGGCTTCGCTACCAGTCTCTGCTTCTGAGCTCTCCCGAAATCCCAGTAGTGCGGAGTGATGAGCTGCTTCCGGTAGGGAGGCTTCAGATAGCAGCCAAGCACGCCGTTCAACTTCAAGGTCGGCTCACCGAGCGCGTACAAGCCGACAAGCACGTTGATGCTGTTCCCTCGGGTGTTGTCCTCGCTCGCTGACACTTCGATGAAATCCACCTCCAATCGGCCATCGTTTGGCATCTTCAAGGAGAGCAAAGGCGAAGATTCCAAAGAAGGCTCGGGAACCAGGAAGATCGAGCCGCTCTCGCGAGGCTTCTGAAGGGAGCGCAGTAGCGTCTTGCGCTGGTGCGCCAGGCCTAGCCATGAGCAAAGGAGTCTGCAAAGTCTGCGGCAGAACTGACTGCAGATGACGGCAGCCAAGGCACAGGACAACAAACAGCTTCCGAGCCCCATCTCGGCCATGCTGATTTCCACATCGCGCGGCAAGCTCCTTAAATCGAAGCCGGCTGGATAGCTGGAACATGTTGGAACATGGGCCCGCTCTGCTCCGGCCACGGCACTCATCGTCTGCAAGTCGCGCTACCAGTCGCGGAACAGATTGGGGCCGCCTCACCCGAGGCAATCGAACGTCATCCTAGCCCAGGCAACTTCTGGGCGACGCTCCAAAGCAATCTCAGACATCTCTTCGCTTGCAAAGTCCTGCACGGAGGAGAGGGGCCCACCTTGCCGGCTGACATCGAAATGGAAAGAGGGAACACGCTCCAAAGACGAATGATCAAACAGCCGAACTGCTTTCAGCAAACCCGGCAACAACCCCAAAGTAAGTCAACAAACAGCCCGTTGATCCTTCTGGACTTACGGAAAATTCCGGGAGCGACGGTCGTCTGGCCCAAACTTCATGACTGAGCCATCGAACACCAGAACTTCCAGCAAAGAGGCTTGCCAAAAAGTACAACCACCACGAGAAATCAGTTCTCATGATGTTTCGTGTATACTTGCAAGCTTCGAATGCACTACATATGTCAGTAGCTGCTCCGAATGCTCAATCAATCGTAATCATCTCTGCACGGTGCCAAAGTGCTGAAGGCTTCGTGCGAGACCAGCAGCCCCGGCATGGCCTGAGGCTCCATGGCTGCGTGATCAGCTGCGCTTGGCATCGTTTCGAACTTTCTACTGAACTAGTCAGCTAGCTGAGCCCTTTCACAGCGACGACGGCACCCTGAGTCCGCCGCCAAGAAGGTCGGAAGCCAATGCTTCCAAACCTGGGCTGCTGTCGCTGTTCTTGGACTGCTGGGCCTTGGGGCCTGGCTGCATTGCTTGCGACATGGTGGTGTCAGAAAGATCCCTCTTCGAGAGACGTCATCGCCCCAAATGTTTGCGACTGATAGTTCCAGGACGTTCAGGCCATCCGCCTCCTGGTCTGTTGCCGGGATGTGCGGGGCCGCAAGCAACGTTGCTCCACATCTACTCGCCGCAATTTAAAGCCAAGCCGCCCTCAGCTCTGCCAAAAGCGTCTGCAACCGGGGCATGGAAGGCCTCAGTCCAGTCTGGCTTGGCCCCATCTTCCCCTTATCGCGCGCGCTTGATTGAAAGCTACCGCTACCGCCTGTCCTGTTCACAGTTTGTGGGAAAGTCTACCCGAAAAAACACAACACTCAAGTCAGGCAGCATCAGACCGTCATGGATGCCAAGCAGATTCCTCAACTCATCCACTTGCACCATCTTGCACCCACATGCCAACCTGTGCCTGCAAAGATGCGACTCTGCTCCTCTTGATCGGAATGCCGAGATTCAGGGCCAGCTTCGGCAACTTGTCACGGGATGCCCTGGAGACTCGGCGGTGAAGGCAGACGTGCCTTGCAGCATGGTTTAAGCCGTTAAGCTGTAGTCACTGTAGTGCGTTTCCAGTTGCGCGGTACTGCCAGATTACCAACTGAGGCGACAGCAGCGGTGTCCTTTTCCGGGTGTTTTGCTGCAGAATGTCTGCTTTGAACTGCAGCAGCTCTCGCACGACATTGACGTGCATTCTGTC